TCATCGTCTTTCTAAATTTTAACGCGTCTTAGGGCCGTAGTGCGGTAGTGACACTTTTCCGGACATGGGTCCCTATACTCAAATGTTTTCTACTGTTGCACTGAATAACCCCTAGAAGTTTGATCCCATAGTTCTGAAACACCCTGTATATAAATATATAATATTCATTTTTTTCTTATAGTACGTTGAAAAAAAAAATTTATTAAAAATAATGTTAGTTCTTCTTAAAAGTTAAAAAAGGTTAAAAAAGAAAGTTGTTTGCGATCGTATTGCATTCTCCATATTAATATATATATTTGTCTTATAAAATTTAAATATGATTTCTTATTTTCCCATACACAAAATACAAGAACAATCTGTACAATAACAAAATTCTAATCGGACAAGTCATCTTGCGGCAATTCAATGAAGTAACTTCCATCTTCATGAGGATAGGCTGGATTCCACCAATTTAAGATACGATAGTTAGTCACATGACGAAGTATTACTTGATGAGTAAATGTACTACGTACAAATGATGATCCAAATCCAAGTTGAAATTTGTGTTCCCTATAGCCGCCGGGCTGTAAAGTCACAGATACTGTTTGCAGAACCAATCCAATTACTGGAGGTACCATGCTGTAGTATAAGCATATCACCTGTAAAATATGAAATACATAGTATATGATTGTAGCGCGTTTGTGCGTGCGTGCGTGCGTGCGTGTGTGTTAATTTATTAGACATATACCTCAAGAACCTTGCATTTCTCATCAGGATTAAAAGTTACATCTTCCGGCATTTGAAGACAATTAAAGTTTTCATCATCATTTTCGAGATCATATTGTTTATTTTGTTTTAATAACTTTTTAGGAGTTTCAGAAATATCCTTAAATTTAAAATAGAAATACCATTTATCTCTTTTTTCCTAAAAATGTCACATTATTAAATTTTATCATACAGCACAAAATTATACTTAAGAAGTTAAGTAACACATACTTTATGCCACATAAGAGTGCACTTTCTTTTTACGAGAGAATATGGTTCTTCTTTCAGGTCGAGACATACAATATCTTGAATAAAAATGCTTGGTTGCCGCAAACAGGAAAAATAACCATAATGTAATGCCCTGATAACGCAAGCTCTTAATCCATGCAATATTAAACACTGTGGCTGTAGACGCTGGGGTAAGTTTGGTACAAATTTGTAATATCTATTAAAATACATGACTTAATTATATAAATGTAAACTACTACTATTACCACTACTGGTAGTTCTACAATAATGTTAGAAAATTGTATGCTAAACTTACGATTTGTATAAACAAAACCAGAATTTTCCTGTGGTAGTTACATAATAAGAACTCCTACAAATTCTTGCAAACTTTCCCACCGCTTCTGGTTGTATATATTCCGAAATAACAAACCATATATCTAATGGATAGATGTTTCCTAACAATATATAAGTAATATTATATAAACAATATGTAAATAATAAGAATTATACATATAATTTTAAATATATATATATAATTTACCTTCTTTATCACTATCTTCCTGACTATCTTCCAATTTTCTTCTATCCTTTTTTCTATTAAAAGACATGTCTAAAAAGAAAAGATTAAGAATTAACATATGATATATATTCAGAGCATCTTTTTTTTTTAATTTACTTACTTTTGTGATTGCTTCCTTTTGTACATTGTACTAATCTCTTTTCACCTTCTTCATCCCAAACAGAGTTTTCCTCTTCTGTTGATGCTTTTTGTTTTACTAAATACATTTAGATCATAATTAAAAGTGAAATAAGAATACAGTAGAACCTCCCAAAACGTATACAGTTGGGACCGACGAACCTCCCAAAACGTATACTGCCCCTATTCCCTCACTCTTTAACTAACGCATGCGCATATTATAATAGAGGTTATATTACGACCATGTATGTTACATGTGCATAGCCTAATGCGCAAGCGCTAGCGCAGTTTCGATTGTACCCATACGTAGTGGTGGGAAAAGCGATGAAGGAGAAAATATACGTTTTGAGAGTAGATTTGTATGCGTTTTGGGAGGTATATACGTTTTAGGAGTATACGTTTTGGGAGGTTCTACTGTATGTATAATCACAACACAAAAAAATTACTTGTTAATAAACAAACTTTTTACCTTTATTAGAGATGTTTGTAACTGATTTCTTAAGTCTTGCACGAATTTTTAAAGTATTAGCAAAATCGTCAATAGTCACATCTGCTATAGAAATAAAAAACTTATTACTTACAAATAAAAGTATTTTAACGAGTAAAATATAGATAATAGAAATAATAGTAACTTGAAAATTTGAGCATTATCTTAGAACTTAAAGAAATTGTGCTTATTTGCACTTAATATAAAACTTCAAAATAAAAAAATTTGATTAAAAAAATAGTAAATAAATACGTCTTTTTTGTGCATTCATATAATTAAAGTATCATGAAAAAAACTTGATAGTAATTATTTCGAGGATATCAACCACATTTGATATAGAAACACAATTTAACATCTTTACTACGTTTCAAATGTGAAACGTTTGCAGACTGCACGCATATGATCACGTTGTTTCAATGTCGTATATTGACAGATTTTCTAACCTACAAAAATAGCAATTTCAACGCTTAAATTACTCATTTCGCGAAACAGATCGACATTTTTTCGTTACAGATTTTTTGTTTGTGCGAAACCGCGTCGGGTGACAATTGAGTTCAAATTTATCGATATCAGGCGTGGTGTCAAAATAATTAGCAAAAAAAGTAATGTTATTACAAATATATATAATAACGTGTAATAACCTCCTATGATGTCATTTTCTCTCTGCACGGCTGATCTTCTGCCCGCTTTCTTTCGCGAAGTAGACAACATCAGACTTTGACAGATGAATTATTGTTATCATACAATACGATGAAGAACGAATAATTAATCAGATACGCGCATTACGAAAAAACAGAAAAATCTACAATATATACAGAAAAAATATGTACATTTGTACTATTCATTGTGGCAAACTGTCGACTTTCATTTCGGCATCGTTAGGATACGTTTTCATAGCACGTATGTACAACCAGGGGTACGTTCCAAAATCCTACCTTAGTTACTAAAATGCTATATTTCACGTCACGTGTACTATAGTTTTTGGTAACCAAAGTAGGATTTTGGAACATACCCCAGAGCGAAAACTGAGAACGGCCAGCCGCACAAGAGAAGGTGTGATCTCTTTTCCACCCTGGGGTACGTTCCAAAATCCTACCTTGTTTGTTAAAATGCTATATTTCACGTCACGTGTACTATAGATTTTGATTACCAGTGTAGGATTTTGGAATGTACCTTTGTAGACAGCGCAATGTCCATGGGATTGGGTGGTGCACATTAGGTTTGTTCGTGTTGCATGCCCCAACATGCTTCTACTCGCCCCAACGCGCCCTAACAGCGAATTCGGTAGCCTGCACTAGTGCGCACTGAGTGCGACATTTTTTTATTGAAAAAGTTTATTAAGACCCGGTTTCACAATTCGCGGTTAACTCGAATTAACCGAAGTTCGACTTGCTGAGCTCGGTTTAACCATAGACGTATAAGAAATAGACTGCGCGTGTGAGAGGGGAAGTGAGTCAAACTTNGGAGTGAGACAGATGCTTTCACCCGAGTCTCTGTCTCTGTCTTTCAGCATCTGGAGTGGGGACTCCCCACTCGGGAGACAACTCCATAGAATGTCTATGCTGTCAATCGCCTACTGTCGCCCCTTCATCGCTCGATGCTCCTCTATTGCCCCACTACGCTATTTCTCATTCCTACCACTTTTCTTGTCCGCCAATCACCGCGTCACTAAACAAGGATAGAGACTCGGGTGAAAGCATCTATCCTCGTCCGAAGTTTGACCATTCTTTCTGCACAGAAAAGATACGGGACGCGCAGTCTATTTCTTATATGTCTATGGGTTTAACGCGTTCAATCTTCTTTGTCAATCTGTGCTAACCAATCACAGTTCATGTTTATGAAGAAAAGATGCGTTACGCCGAGTTCAGCAAGTTGGGCTTCCGTTAATTCGAGTTAACCGTCAATTGTGAAACCGGGCCTAAGACAGATTTGAAGTTTCGTTAAAGTTTCATTGAAAAAAAAGCACGTCGAAGCGAATAGGAGCATGTTGGCGCATGCAACGCGAACAAGCCTATTGGCAACTACGTAGCCAATGTTGACGAACGACTCGAGATGTCTGATGTCACACGTGGGTTAATTTTGTATTTTCAATAAAAAAAAAGAGGCAAGAAAAGGAAATAATTGTTGTAAAAGAGCTGTAATCTTCAAAATGGTAATTATTATTCAAAATATTAAAGTGTCTATTTGCTTTTTTTTTATTTGTTCAAAGTGTACTTTACATTTAACAGGTTATGTGAACGATTCTTGGAAATTTTAATTTTTTCAGCCGAATCTATTTTTCAAATTTAATGCGGTTAAATAAAATGTGGTTTTTTAATTTCTAGATTATGCATAGGTTTTGGAGGTTCTCACGAGTGGCAAAGAGAAGAAAACGAACTCTAAAAGTGTGTCTTCCTCACGTAATAAGAGACAAAAATGATGTTTCAATCAAAAATTTATTTGTGGGTGATTTTTATGTAAAATTGCCACGGCAGTCTAGCAGATCTTGCCACGTTGTGTTTCCCGATGTCGAATCAAAGATGAAGAACCACGAGCTTGCCAAAGATAAGACGATCAATGGCAAGCGAGTTATTATTGAATCATTACGCCCTATACAGCTTAAAAAGAGACCCAAAAAGATAAAAAGAAAAAAGATCTATATGCCTAAAATCAAGTCTGAAGTCAAAGTGACTCAAACGTAAGTAGTGTGTTTTTACTTAATAAAGTTTCACTATAGAGATAAAAAGAGAAAGAAAACAATTATTACTGTTGCTGTATATTTTTACAGATTGTTTGTGTCAAACATACCAAATGATACAAAAGTAAATGAAATACGAGATGTTTTTCCCGAATGTGTGTGTGTTACTTTGTTGAGATCTTATAACAAAAACTTTAAGTAAGTATAATTTACAATTTAATAGATTCATTTTTTAATATTGTCAAGATTTTTTAGAATTAGAAGTTTTTATTTTGTATAATGTTATTTTTTTTTTCATAGATGCGCAATGGTTAGAATGAATAGTATTGAAGTAGCAGAAGAATACTTGACGAAAAAGCGGGAATGGCCAACTTTAAATGAACAAAAACTGTACTTACATGTAGACACTAGAAAAAAGCACAAGAAAAGAACTCCTAAGTCTCTAAAAATTTATGATGAGAATGGAACAGAAATACCTAAATCTAGTGAGAGTTTAAATTGTATAAAAGAAGAAAATGAAAGTAATTAAAGCTATAAAACATTTAATTTTATTATTGAAAGATTTATTTGGAATTTGAGTTATTTTAGAACGTTTTGTAAGTCTTATTTTTCAGAAAGAGATGTGTTTTTCTCTTTTTTGTGCATCTTAGTTTTTAAACTTACGCACAGAGAAGATGGCGAAAGCAATGGAAACTCTCAATAACAGAAATTACATTCTAAAAATAAACTAAAAAAAACAAAAAAATCGGGACATGCTATGAAATAATTTTGACAAAGTGAAGTCTGTTTTTCTACTTGTATAAGAGAGTTATGTTTATTTATTCTTAGAGTATCTTTATTATATCTTTTATTTCATCTAAAATCTTATCCAGTTTTTATCTGCAAAGTATTAGTAATAATTTAAATAAATTCTCCTCCTATATAAAAAAATCCATGTGTACCGCGAAGTGCGCGTTTTGATATCGAATGTATCATCTATTGTTGTCTTTTTTCCGCGTTGCCGATTAGTTGATTGATCGAGTCGAGTCGAGTCGAATCGAATCGGTAAGATCGAGAGAGTAAAGTAAATAATGACAGAAAAGCGATTGTGACAGTTCGTCGTATACGTGGAGAAAATTAAAAACATAACTAAAGTAAAGTCACTTGACAGAAAAGAGTAGAAAAACAACACGTGACTATTTAAAGTAACGTGATTGTAATTTATATTATAAATGGAGCGGAACAATATGGTGCACTCCTCTGTACATACTACCGTAAGGTCACTGATCTCGGCCGCGCGACCGTGGTGGGGAGGGGTCACTGACCCGGCCGCGCGGCCTTGGCGGGGTTACTGACCTCGGCCGCGCGGCCTTGGTGGGAGAGGAGGGTTACTGACATCGGCCGCGCGGCCTTGGTGGGGAGGGGTCAATGACCTCGGTCACGCGACTGCGGTAGAGTCACTGACCGCGGCGGTGTTACTGACCGGTCACGTGATTACGGTATATATATGTATATATATATATGCGTGTGTGTGTATTGTATAGATATAGAATATTATATATATTATATATAATATTCTCTTTTTTACTCTTTTCCCTGTCACGTGACTTTAGTCACGTGTGGTTTTTCTACTTCTCTCTTTCACTATTTTTTTAGTTTGATTTTCATGCGTTATTTCTGACATTTCTCATATGTGTATTATATAGTTTATAAGACGTATATACTATCTGTCATCGCGGTGACAGGTTGTGTTCACTGACAACACGTTAAATAAAAATAACAATAGCGTGCGCGTAGCGCGCGTCTGTGATGTGCTAGTTTTATAAAGAAAGCTGTTTTAAGTTCATAAACTACGGAATAGGATTGGAATCTAATCAATCAGGATAAAGTTCACTAAAGCGGTTTGAGGATAATTCTCTCTTCATTCCCGTTGGTTACATTCCAATTCGGTTTAATATTAATTGTTAGTGTGATACGAGCCGATGCCGGAATAAAAATCGCTTCGTCACACCGCATCCGACGGTGTCGATGATCATTGAGCGACGCGTGTTCTCATGCACTGGTTGCGGTATCTGAGAAATGAGTCATCCGCGATGAAATAAAAGCTCTCCGATTTCTGACGCACGCACGGCATTGATACTCGCGTATCAAGAATCTTGTAGTTGGTAGGAGAGAAAGAGAGAGGAAAGGGAGGAAAGAGTCGATGGGACGCCCGTAGTGCGCCTGTCCGTGGAGTGACATTTCTTGAGACGGAGCACAGACGAACCTTCGTCCCCGAGAAGGTCGCTCGTTAAAGTTTTTTTTTAACGGCGCGTCGGGGTACGAATGAGTAACAAAACACGAAGCTCGATCGAAAACAATATCTCGACAGTCACTCGAGGGGGATGCGACAGGTCTTGCTGTAAAATACGTAAGTCATAAGTGTCAAAAGCCAGTGCTCAATGTTACGAACCGCATTCGCGGTGGAAAGCAACGAGTTCGGTGCGACCGGTGAAGTTGGCGCGTGTGCCCCCCCGTACGAAGTGAATACGATCGACGACGACGACGACGATGTTGTTACCCGTCAACATTCCCGATGCGTCAAGTGGCCCGTGCACTCGACGGAAGGCGATATCTCGTTCCGGCAGAGATCGAAGCTGCACCTGCAGGTCGGACAGTTGACGCGATCGTCGTCGACGCGACACGGAGGTTATCATCTCGGTACAGACGATAAGAAGGAAAACGGGCGACTCGGTTAAAGGCGTGAATGCACAGCAAAGGGCGAACACGTTGCCGTCGTCGCCGTCGTCGTCGTCGTCGTCGTCGCCGCCGTCGTGAGGAAGAAGTGACAGCAATGGCCGAGCGTCATCATCATCATCGTTATCATCATCATCGTCATCATTATTATCGTCATGATTGTGATTGTGAGTAAAGCGCATCGCTCGACGTGAGGTTGGTCGCGTCGAGCATGCCGTGAACACGCGACTCCGTGATGCGTCCGCACGAAGACACCCGGTCGAAGCGACGAATCACGGAAAGAAAACGGCGAAGAGAAAAGGTGAGTGCCGCCGGCTCGCCGGCACGGTAGATCGCGGGTGGCCCTCCAAAGCCTTCGCTCCCTTATTCCGGAAAATGAAGTTCATGTTATATACTCTGTACGGGTTCGCGATAGTCTTTATGATATTCTGGTCGGGCATGTGGGTGGTGCACGTGCTGGCGTTGATTGCCGGCCGCTGGAAGCTGCATCGGAAGCTGAATCAAGCGCCGAGCTACGAGACGCCTCTGCCAGGGGTCTCCGTGATAAAACCGTTGATGGGAGTCGATCCGAATCTTTTCGGCAATCTCGAGACCTTCTTCACGATGGAGTATCCGCGATACGAATTGCTGTTCTGCGTGGAAGACGACTCCGATCCCGTGTTGATGTTGGTGCGCAAGCTCATCGAGAAGTATCCGGAGGTCGAGGCGAAACTGTTCGTCGGCGGCTGCAACGTTGGAGTGAATCCGAAGATCAACAACATGCAGCCGGCCTACGAGGCCGCCAAATACGAGCTCGTGCTGATCAGCGACAGCGGCATACGCATGAAGGAGGACACTCTTCTAGACATGGTGAATTACATGACGGACAATGTGGCTCTGGTGCATCAGATGCCGTTCACCTGCGATCGCGAGGGTTTTGCCGCCGCTTACGAGAAGATTTTCTTCGGCACGGTTCAGTCACGTATGTATCTGGCCGCGGATCTTCTCAGAATAAATTGTCACACCGGCATGTCGGCTCTACTCAGGAAGAGCACGTTGGACGAGGTCGGCGGTCTGAAAGCGTTCGGTATTTATCTCGCGGAGGACTTTTTCTACGCGAAATCTCTGACCGACCGTGGTTGGCGCATCACCGTCTCCTCGCAGCCGGCGCTCCAGAACAGCGGCCACTGCGAAGTCGACACCTTCCAGGCGAGGCTGCGACGATGGGCGAAGCTGCGCGTGGCGATGCTACCCCCGACGATCGTTCTGGAACCCCTGAGCGAGTGCCTCATTCTGGGCGGGTGTGCTTCCTGGGCAGCTAGTGTGCTCTTCGAGTGGGACTCTCTAGTTTTCTATTTGGTGCATATACTTTTGTGGTTCATGTTCGACTGGACACTGCTGTGCGTCGTGCAGAACGGACCGCTGCCCTTCAATAAACTCGAATTTGTGTGCGGTTGGTTGCTCAGTGAGACCACGAGACCATATCTTTTTCTTCAGGCTGTTCTGGATCCTCTTATACAGTGGCGATCGCGCGTCTACAAGCTTAAATGGGGCGGCGTCGCGGAGGAGGTTAAGGCGAAAGTCAAATATTAAATAATTCATTTGCGCGAGTGCATTGCGTACCTGTGTGAATGCGTGCGTGCGTGCGTGCGTGCGTGCGTCTGGTATGTCTGTCTAAAATAGAGAGAAACAGGAGCAATTTTTTTTGAGAAGAACTGACAAGTTTGTGTGTGTGTGTATGTGTGTGTACGCACACTCAAGGCGTTCCGATAACACACACACACACACACACACATACGCACACAGCATCGCGGCTTTTACGAATTAATCTCTCTCGCCAATACCAATAGCATTTTAATTTATAATCGATTTACAGATAGAAATTTTAACATGCGATAATTAAGTAACGATCTTATTTTTACGACACAGTGTGTTAATCAAGATGTATTAGCAGATCGAAGATTAATCGAACAAATATGTTTGCATTCGAGAAAAAACTCTCGGTGTGAAAATGGAAACTTCGTTGGAAACTTCTCAGCGAGGAAAACTAGAATTTAATTGAATCAGTAGATCATCAGCGCAAAAAAAGGTATACGATACTTAGAACGTCTTGTTTATGCATACATTATGCAGACATATATAGTGTTGTGTGTTCTAGATGTATTTCGTGCGGATCGATTTGTTCAGCGCACTTTGATTTTAATAAACATACACGTGTTAATTGAGTTCGTTTGTGATAATCATCGAAAAAAGCGCGGTGCGCGCACACACACGTAAAATTGAAGATCGATGGGAGAGGCGCGAAAAATAAACAAAGAAGAAATAAAATCGGCCAAATCAATCCGCACGTAATACGTTGCGTCGTAGCCAACAAGGGAAAACGTTTGACACGGTATTTCTACCGAGTCTCGGTATATGCTCAACGTACGGTGCGATGTTTTCTCTCTCTTTTTTCGCGAGGATTATTTATTTGCAATAGGTCCTATTGAATAAGACGTAAAACTAGTCGTGATTAAAGTGTACAGGTCGGCGGTGCGGTCGCTTTTTTTTCTGAGCGACCATACCGCACGGCGTTCTCTCGTCTTTCCACGTACGGAGTGCAAGTTCTGTATTAGAAAATCGACACACACACACATACATGTACGGAACAAATATGTAAATTTATATGTACATTAAATCGTAATTTTGATTATGATCGATAGGTTAGGTTATACGAATTCAAAGCAAAGAAACAAACTAGCGGCTTATCTAGAGCGTACCGGAAGAGCGTGCGAATTTTTTGCGCGATCAATCATTCGGCAGAATTGAATTGGGAGAAGAACAGGCGTACCTCCCCATTTCCGACGGGCGAAACCGTTCGGGGAGAGAAAGGCATACTCATTCTCCTTTCGAATTTCAAAGCCGGAGGAGAGGACGCGCGATTATCTGCATCTCGGGGATGTGCAAAGTTGCACACTCGGCGGAGATTAATCGCGCTCGCTTTGCGCTCTTCTCTAAAAAGGAAATAAGCTGTCGCGTTCTCTTCTCAGGACTTTCAATTGTCACCAAGGCCATATCGTCCGCGAGAATCGCCCACTACGCATTTTTCCGCTCGCAGTTCTCAAGCCGCTCGCTCTCTCTCTGTGTGTGTGCGAGAGGAAAAATTTTGTTGGTCAAATCTTTTGCGCGAGTAACATATGCATAAAAAAAAAAAATAAATAAAAAAATTTTATTACGGGTAAGTTTATTAAAGATAATGCGAGACCCGTTTTATCACTATTTGCTGAAATTACATACATTTGCGCGCTGTACTTAATAACCGATCAGAAGCCGATCATCATTATCTGTACACACAGCGGAGAATGTCAATTACGCGAACGCCAATATAATCGGGTTTCTCGTGACGACTGATTTCCACGCAGATTTATTCGCGCGTACGAACGCAGAGCGTTTTTTTTTTTTTTTTTTTTTTCATTTACATTTTACAAGTGTACGTAGTTAATTTGTATCTCTGTTTCCGTTTACACAATTGTATATTTCTCTTTTCCTAATTTTTTGATCGCGCACAGACTTCTTGTACCCATATGTATTGTGTTTATTTCCGATTTCCGTCTCTCGTCGTGCAAATCGATAATTTACTGTACTTAAAACTTGCAGCCAGTGATTGATTTCGGAGTTTTCCGTGTAACCGAAAAACAAAAACACACGAATCCATCGGAGAAACTGACTTTGTCGAAGTGTTCGATACCAAGTTCTGTGTGTCGCTAGACGACGCCTTGTTGCAAATTCTGTTAATGCAGATATTATATCTGGCCTGGATACTTCGCGCTCTCGGTTTCCGGATCAGAATTGTTTCGGACAGTTTTCTCTCTGTGATCGCACAACGTGATCGCGAGGCCAAATTCGTCGTGTCAAAACCGACGATCGTATCTGTTCGCGCCCGAACCGTTGACTCATCGTCAACCTTCGTTTTGACTTCTTTGTTTTTTCTTCTTTAGTTACTGGAATCGATTGCTTATTTACTTGTCGTGTGTGCAAAAACAGATCTGAGCTCGAGCAAGTGGCGTTCATCATTTGAAACTCAAATAACGCACACTTATATAGAGTAGTGATAAGGCCACGTGTTTTTTTTAAATATTCCGAATTCGCGTGCTTGTCGTTGAAACGTCGCGAACGTTGGCACATGTGTACATATCCGTTGATGAAATGTGTACTGTGGAAAAAAAGAACATGCAAAAAAAAGAATTAAAAAAACAGAAGCAACCGTCCTAATGACAAGTGTAATCGCGAGCCAATATTCTTAAGTGGCATCGGAATGAAGCACAAATATTCTTTCCAAACACACACACACACACACACACACACGTATGTGCGGGAGGGGAAGGAGTACGTCGTAAAACTACTCTCTTCGATCCGTTCAAAATGAAACCTGATTAATCAGCGGATGAAACTGCGTTTCAATGTCGATCAATCATTTTGTTTAGATCAGTTTTGTAATTTACGTAAAAGAAATAGAGTTACGTAAAAAAAAAAAGTTTTAATTTACGTAAAAAATAAATAGAACTTTTTCTCTTTTTTTTCTAACGTAGAAAAAATGCAGAGAAAACAAATATACTTAAAAGCTCTCTCAAGAGTTTTAACTAGTTGATCTCGTTTAACGTGAACACGCGTGCTTCATGATGGTCGGTGTCAGATGTACTCATGATGATGTGTTCGCATACGCGATCAAAAAAATATTAGAAGTAATGACAATTCATACAGACGGTTTTCATTGATATTGATAGAATAGGTAACATTATATAATGTTGCTCTCGGGCATACAAATACGACGAAATACTTGGCGATGAATCATCATCAGACGGAACGTTATCGCGTCGTCAGATAGCGATAACAAATAATTAAGTCATTAGACACATTTTGTTTTGCCGCGATTTAAAAATGAATAAATTTTGTTCTGAGATTTTTTGTTGCGTTTTCCCGCGCGCGATTCCGCGAAAAATTCAACAGCTCTGTGACGCATCACAGAAACGACAGGTTCTTAAGAAACAATTAAAATGTAATCTAGATTTTTTTCTTTTACATGGAATTTCGTTTCTTAATGTAAGTCTTGTGTTATTTATTCGAATATTGCGTTGCGTAAGTTGTAACGGCAATTCTTAGATATTTAACCGACTCGAAACTATATTTAGCAAGATTCGAGACCTCACATGATGCTCAAAAGAATGTCTTTACGATAATTTCTATCATTTCAATGCTGCTTTATCGTACAATTTGTCCGAGTTATCTCACAATGATAACAAAAGACTAGTGGCGGTCACATTGCACATCTCGCAAGTTTTTCTCATTATTACACGTAATTATTTAACTCTGTTTTTCCTACCGTGAAAAGTGTGTGCGCATCGTGCGCGATGCAAGGACGTGCGCCGCGAATGATTGTGTATATGTGTGTGTGTGTGTTTATTATGCGGTCTGTCTCACGCATTTACTATCGCGCACAAACCTACTTGTTTTGCAGATATGTACGTAAAAATACGGCAATCGGATCGTAAATCCACGTTTTAATTTGACGTTTGCGGGTGACGTTTCGTCTGTTTAAAATTGTTCTTTTTTTTTTTTTTTTTTTCCCCACCAAACACGCTTGAGAAAGGAAGTGTATAATCTCAATTATTAAGTCCTCGTTCGCGGTGATATCGATTTGAAAGAAAACTTTAGCGGCTTATCGAAATGAGATACTGTTGAACTTTGTTATCGATTGGCGTATAAGCTAAATAGTTATACGAGACAAGTAAACGACTGCGACAAGGCGCGGATATGACACATATGTATATTTTTTTCTTTGCGTTACGTAAGATATAAAAAACACTTTCTTTCGAAGAAAACGCATCATCGTTGTCTCTTAGAACGCGAATAATCTTCAATCAATCCGATTTATAATGAATTTTGCGAGTTCTTGAGACATGATGCGTTTGAAATTTTTATTGCAGAATTTATGTCGACCCGGTTTTATAATTTAATATTTTCTGCGTGTGTGTTATTTTCTATAGCTCTACAAATACGCTATGGAACATTACTTTGCAAGATTCAAATACACGCTCATCAAAATTGTACTTGGCAGAGAGCGCGGCAACATTCAGCAGAATCAGTAGATACATCCGCTTTTCATCGATATTACAAAATATTCCGAGATATAGTTGACATATTTTTCTGAAAAGTCAGTGCAATTGTGAGAGATTAGAAGATGGCTTGCATTTTCATTCACATACTAAGTCTAAGACATCACCAAAGTCCAAAAACCGTTGTACTAAACTGTTTTCTCGATGTTCCAGTTACATTATCTATTACAGGGGTCACAGAATATTCTCAGAATATTATCATTCTTATGGTCGTCTTACATGGAATATTCTGTATTCTAATATTAGGTTTATCCGCTTCTTGGCGTCAGTACATTAAATGTTTGCACATTTATTTTTATGCATTTTCTTCTTGTTATCCCGTTCAAATGACGTAAACAAAAACGAACAGTGTAAATATTGCGAGGAATATATCAACGTTCTTAACGAGAATCTGATTTACTCTTTTAATTATTATCAATAATTTTTTTCATTGTAGTATATTTTATTTATAACAATTAGCATTTTCATTCATTAGTAAATTATAAGTTTAATTATAGTAAATCTCTCTGATTACACTGCATGTTGCAGCGGAAATGGGCTCGAAACGCCTGATGATTAGTGTGTTAATTGCAACCCCGAATTTTATTGTGTGTAAAATCATAATAAAATGTTAACAAAATTACTAATTAAAATATTTATGATCTGCGTAATTAAGTTGCACGCTCTTCCGAATCAAACGTGTAAATATTATTTGTACACTCTGTTCACAATCAGCATCGATACTCATATTCATTATATATGTATTGTATATATACATACATACATATATATATATATATATATATATATATATGTATGTATTATAGTACGGTCCACTATTCCATTATTCCATTATTTGTTAGCAGCTTAGCGTTAGCGGGTTATCACTGCCCCCTTCTCCAACATTGTAATACTATATTGCCGTGTGAATTATTCTTCCAGTGATACATAAGCTCCTGTTTCCTCTCTCGCCGCAGCTATATTAAATTACACCATCAGAAGCAAGAAATCGTGTTCAATTTTTTTTCCATTTAACTCAGAAAAGATTTTCTTCTCTATTATTGTATTACGTGTTAGGACAAATGTATCAAATGTGGATTTTGTGACAATTATTTAAACAAGTATTCTCCTTTGGAAGGAAATAATCGTTTTTTTTTGTTTTGGTGAATACTTGAAAAATTTTAATCCGCGACAAATTGTCGTATTTTGGTGCGCCGATTAAAAGACAAATTTTTCCAACTTGTTTGACTTAGATCACTTTTGTGTAATTAGCACATTTTCATTAAGTTGAACGACATAATACGAAAAGTTTTGTTTATCGACGTATTAGGAAATAATGGGAGTTCTCTCTCTCGCGTCTGGCGTCAAACATACTATTATACAGAGAGCAAAATTAGCAAGAGTTATAAATAAAATAATACGACGAGAGAACACACACATTGCGCGTGACGTATATATAGATAAGTACAGACCATCTTTGAATAATATTTACATCTGCATTACACATGTGGATTAATATATTTAGCGTATCGTATTGCATATACCTCGTGATCGCGCGAAAGATATCTGGTTTTTCAATTAAATTCTGACTCTCGTTAACATATTTGACTCATGTAGATGTAAATGACAAATTGGAAAATCGCTATCAGCCGACTTCTAATTCTCGAAATCATTTTTCAAAATTTGCCCGCCGTTTGTTTGTAATAAACGTAGATACGTTTATTACGAACCGGGTAAGTGGACCGCATATTGTTGTTTTTTGATTTGTGCGAACTCTATTTCTTCACTGCTACTTTTTTCTCCGCATAATGCCTATGTGACAAAATATCGAGTCTCACTTTATGTTAAAACGGAAAAAAAATCTCTTCTGAGAATAAGAGATAACAGTATAATCAGTGTAATGTATATTTATATAAACGATTGCGAAAATTTAGCGCACGCACGAAAGAGAGAGAGAGATAGAGAGATAGATAGATAGATAGAGAGAGAGAGAGAGAATGTGTGTTGAGTGAGAGATAATACGCGCGCCTATATGCAAGAAATACAAGGACGGAAAAGAGCTTGTACTTTTTATTATTATCATCAACCATTTCCGCTGATTACAAAGACATTAATTTTTCATTCTTTTCTCAGCTCTTTTCTGACTTCGTTCGTATCTATATTCGTTCGAAGGAAAACCTTAAACTTTAAACGGAAGATTTTCCAGGCTAAGAATCGCAATGCGGATGTATAGAATGTATATATGTATACCGTAGGAACATAGAGCGTCGCAGAAAACAAAATGTGCAACCGCAATTCACGGTGGCGCATTATGTTTCATATTTGTGTTTTGTTTTGTTTTGTTTTTTTAGGTCGGACCTATATATATATATATAATACAAAAAATTGTGTGTGCAAGCAAGCTGTCGCGAGTCGCGGTTGCAAAATCTTCAGAAGTGGCCGGCAATCGCGCGAACTATTTTTGAAAGTTTTGCGACGACCGCGACTTCCGACCGACATTGCGGAACCGGCCTTGTACTTTTGTTTTTTTTTTAAGAAAATCTTTTTTTTTTAAACAGTTGTTGCGCAATTACAAGCCACACCGACAAAAAAAAGACTACCATCCGCACGTGTTCAAGAAACAATTTTGTAAAATAAAATGTTGTTTGTGTGAACGTATAACACGAGCAAGCGATGTATATATATGCCTTGTTACTATTATTCTACCATTGTCTAATTTTTAAGACGTATACAAAGTTAAATTGCCGTTATATATACATTATATATACATATATGTAAGTCAAGGGTGACGTATCCCGTCAAACATCCTTTGACGGGATTTCAATGGAATTTGCGGACTTTTTCATTTAACACATTGCCACAACGGGCTGTGAATCTCGGATCACAACCGAAGATCAGCAGATTGTTTTTTCCGCTTCGATAACTTAGCTGAGCTGAAAGATCAGTATTTGTTGTATCATCATCATCATCATCATCATCATCGAATAAGCCATCGAAAATCACATTCGCGAGAAAAGAAGCCAAAAACACATGTGCGCTAACAAAAATATCAACGAACATAGTACAATTATTAATTGCTTAAGTACGAACATTTCTAAGAAGAACAACAAAACGACTAATTTGCAGAAAAGTAGCTTGCTTTGCGATTTTTATCGCATATACAGGGTGTTTCAGAACTATGGGATCAAACTTCTAGGGGTTATTCAGTGCAACAGTAGAAAACATTTGAGTATAGGGACCCATGTCCGGAAAAGTGTCACTACCGCACTACGACCCTAAGACGCGTTAAAATTTAGAAAGACGAT